TTTTTTTTTTTGAGACAGAGTCTCACTCTGTAGCTCAGGCTGGAGTACAGTGGTGTGATCTCAGCTTACTGCAACTTCCACTTCCCAGGTTCAAGCAATTCTCCTGCCTCAGCCTCCCGAGTGGCTGGGATTACACGCACGTGCCACCATGCCCAGCTAATTGTTTTATATTTTAATAAAGACAGGGTTTCACCATGTTGGTCAGGCTGGTCTCGAACTCCTAACCTCAGGTGATCCACCCACCTTGGCCTCCCACAGTGCTGGGATTACAGGCATGAGCCACGGCACCAGGCCTTAATTTTTGAAAATGAAGCCACTAAAAAAATCTCTTGGAAATTAAAACAAAATTAAATCAATAAAGATAAAGCAGGGTTATGCCTGTTATGGCCTGTCACAGCTCCCTGTTTTGTTCCTTTGCTATCTTCAGGCTGTTGGCAATCCCTCTCCTCCTCACTGTCCCCAGTGGGTCCTGGCTTCCCTGCTCTTTTGCTCACACACCTGTCCATAAGCCCCAGTCACCTGCACAGTACCTGTTTCTGCTTCCCAACACACAGCCAAAGAGTGCGCTCAGACCAGGAATCAGGCCACGCCACTTCTGCGTAAACTCCCCTGGTGGTTTCCTGCAGCCCTGAGTCCAAACTGGCTCAACTCCTGGTGCTCCCTGAAATGCTTATGGCTTGAAGCACGGGCTAGTTAGTGAGCTTCAGGAGACCATGCCTGCTTGTTCACTGTTTGAATCCCCAGTGTCCAGCCCAGGGAACCCAGCTGCTGCTCAATGAACTGTCCAGCAGGATATGGGACGGGGATATTCCCTTTCTCATATTAAGAAAGGGAAGGACCCCCATATCCTCCACTCCTTCCAGTTTCCACAAGAAGGTCCTGTGTCAGAGACAGCCTGGCCATGAAGAGCAGGGCTCTGGAGCTAGACCACCTGGGTTTGGGCCTGTCACTCAGCCGGGATGTCATAAAGTAGGAAGAACAGCCTGGTTCTGCAGCAGCAGGTGGTCCCATACCTGGCTGGCTTTGGCATTGACGTCACCAAGCCGGAAGAGCTGAAGGACAGTCTCGATGTCGTCCTGGGTCTTCAGGGTGGCCAGAGCAGTGAGCATAATAGGGCTGTAGCCAGCACGGTTCTGTTTGTCCACCTTGCAGACACCTAAGAGGGGTGGTGTGAACCCTCAGACCAGGCATCTCTGCTAGTGGACTGCCCCAAGCAACGTGGGTATCATGTCTCCTCCATCAGTCTAGGCATGCCCTAATCCCTCCCTTTTCTCAGAGGACCCCACTCTACCCCAGAGGCCTCCATCTCCATTGGGTCACCCCATTACACCAGGGGCTCCTAAAGTTGGAGACGGTCCCTCCTCCATCAGATTTGGGGCCCCGATGCTGGCATCTATATTTAGGGCTGAGAATAGGAACTGGGTCTCCCCCGTTAATTCTGGAACAGCCATTTACCCTCAGACTGGCCCATGTCTCCCCCATCAGATTGTGGGCCCTGAGTCCTTCATCAGCCTGGGAGGCTGTCTCCCCCAATCGAAGAGGGAAGGGCAAGTTTCTTCCTGCCAAACTGAGGGCCACATCTTCTTTCTAAGCCCGAGACTTGAGGACGCATCCTTCTCTTAGACCAGGGCTCCAGAGATGTCGCCTCCATCATGCAGGCGTGTTTGGGGATGCTGGAGGGCCACATGTTTTCCCTAACATCATTTCTGCCTTTTCCATTACGCTGGCTAAAGGTAGGGCCCGTGCCTCCCCCACCAGACTGGGAAGGCAGTGTCTCCTCCATCAGACTGGGAGGACAGCATCTCCCGCATAAGACCAGGAGGGTAGAGTCTCTGCTATCAGACTAGGAGAGTTATGTCTCCCTCGTTAGACTGGGAAGGTGGTGTCTCACTCATTAGACTAGGAGGGCAGTGTCTCCACTATTAGACTGGGAAGGCAGCCTCTCCTCTATCAGACTGGGAGGGCCACATTCCCCCTACAATGAGCTGGGAAGGTGTCTCCTCCATTAAACTAGGCAAGTGGTGTCTCCTCCATCAGCCTGGGAGGGTGGTGTCCCCCCCATCAGACTGGAAGGGTGGCATCTCCCACATCAAACTGGGAAAGTCACATTTCCCCCATCAGACTGGGAAGGCAGCATCTCCTCCATCAGACTGGGAGGGGCACATCCCCGCCACAGTGAACTGGGAAGGTGTCTCCTTCATTAGACTAGGCAGGTGGTGTCTCCTCCATCAGCCTGGGAGGGTGGCGTCTCCTCTATCAGACTGGGAGTGCCATATACCCCCACCATTGAACTGGGAAGGCGCTGCCTCCTCTATCAAACTGGAAGGCTGGTGTCCCTCCACATCTGAGTGGAAGGTGGACTGGGAGAGAGGTGTTCCCTCTATTATACTGAGGAGGCCGCGACTCCTCCATCATCTTCCCCACCAGACGGGGAGGGCAGCGTCTTCCCTATCAGACTGGGCATGGCGGACAGCCGGCTGCTTTAGAGTCGCCTTGTCCTCCCCGCTGGGCTCACCGCTGTCGAGCAGCTGCTGCACCACGGGGAAGTTGGCATGAGACACGGAGTAGTGCAGCGCCGTGTTGCCGTTGCTGTCGGCGATGTTGACCACGTAGTCCAGCAGCCGCGCAGACATGGCCCGGAACGTGACCAGGTGCCGCCGCACCAGCTCGGCGTGTGCATCGCTGCGGCAGGCCAGGCGCAGCCACTCCTGCAGCACTGTGGTGTAGGCCACTTTCTGTAGGCAAGTCAGGTGGGAGAGGACATGAGGGCAGGGGAGGCCCACTGGGACACCCCCAACCCCAGACAGGCCCCCCTGGAGCAAAGCGTAGTGCCCTTGTCCTGGGAAAGGATCTCAAGGGAAGTGCAAGCGCTCCCAGAGGGAAGTATAGACATCTCTGTCCCAATAAGACCCTTGGAGTGGCCGGGC